AAAGTCTTCATCATCACTGTCCTCAACTGGCCATGTGATTTTTTCTAGGAGCATCTTAAAGAAAACAAAAATTGTAATTTAAAAAAAGGGAGAACTTATTTTGGTGAAGGACTATGCAGATCAAAATCTTAGAAAATTGAAAAATATCCATCTCAGTCATTGAAAATACACGTAAATTCATCAAGTTAAGTCACAAATATAACTAAATTACTGACTTACCTGGGGTGTGAACTGCATTTCAGCCATTTTGGGGAAAAGAAGTGGTACAACATCCGGCCTAGATGTCAGCAGGGGCCATACCATCACATCTTTCAGTCCCTTTCTCAACTGTTTAATTTGGCGCATGGTCCTCCCAACGACCTAAGAGACAGACCGACCCATATTACAGCCCAAATCCTTAACCCAAATTTGACAAAAGTTGGCACAGTAGGAAAAATGTTAATAAACACAATAAAGTGCTTTATAAAAATCCATTAAAACTCTAGTACTTAAACTCTCGTGTTAACATAACAAGCCAGGGTTCACAACACATTCTATAATTTCAACAAGTACAGCGATGAATTCTGTCACTTAACCAGCAGGAACTCACTGCATGGAGTAGAAGTTTGTTATGTAGCCATCTCCGATTTGTTTTGGTGACTGCCGGAAGATCCCAAGACATGGAAAGATCTGAAACTGTGTCCTTCTGTTCCGGTGTAAGATCTTCATGTTCAAGCTAGAATTAAGACCATACAAGTTATTATATCTGCCCAAGCAATATTTTTTACATGGCAAAGTTTCTTTTAGGTTACATACCAGTTCTATGATGCTCCTGATGTGCAGATCAGGGCAGTCTTCTGTAACAACGGTAGCCATTTCAGGGTCCCCATTGAACAGTACATGAATTACAGCAGGACTTAGTCCTGTGACATGGGGACCATCATGCAGAAAGGTGTGGCCCAACATCCTTCCTGCAACCCGGAAGAGGTTGCTTTCAATAAGTGCCTCTGATGCTGCTGGAACAAGATGGTCAGGTTCACCCTCAAATAGCAGTGTTTGGCCCATTCCTCCTGTAAAGTACCAAGAGAGCAGGGAATAAAGTCACAACAATTAACCTCTTAAATACATTAAATAAAAATGTATGATAGATAGATAGATAGATAGATAGATAGATAGATAGATAGATAGATAGATAGATAGATAGATAACATCATACTAGTGGCGATTACTTGGCCTGTGGTATTGCTGCTTGTAGAATTCACTTAAACCAAATTGTAGCCTACTCCAAAATGACTTACAGAAGGACCCCAAACCACTTCAAATTCAATTCCCCTGTATACCCTACTACAGACTTACCTGACACAAAACATTGCCCACCGGCCCTCCGCTAAACAGCACATATCCGCGTTCATCAACCACCAGAACGTACGTGTACGCGTGTGTGTGTGTGCGCGCGCATAGAGAGAGGCGGTGTAGAGTGAGTCACGACACAAACAGGTGCTCAGTCAGCGTTGCATGCAGTGTGAGAATGGCAAGCAGCAAGAGCGGCAAAAGCCAATGTGTGCTTCTTTTACCTATATATGTAACGCTATCTTTTGCGTTTATCCAAACGTCGTCAAACTTGGCACTGCACTTACTCGTGACCAGAGCAAGACACCTGTCAAGTTTGAAATCCATCGGACTAACTGAGAGACATGCGCTACAGACAGACATTTCTGCAATTTATAGATGGATTAACCTTCAAAAAATTAGTAAGATACTTACCAAGATCTAGACTGAATCCAAACTGGAGTTTGGATATGATTGTTGTCATAAAGTACCGCATCACTCCCTCTCCGATAGCAACATCACCTGAAATAAAATACTGATAATAACACTGGAAAAAAAGTGGCGGCCTAATACAGGTAACTGGATTTGGTAACATTTAACAAGAAAGGGAGAAAAACTTCTATTGGCTGTAATTCTAGAATAGCATCCTTAATATTGATTATTCCAGATAACAAGAGTATATTGTGCACAATATTCACATACATACATATAACATTTTTATCAATTATATAATTTTGTGCATTCCATTCTCCCATTTAACAATTACATATAAGCTACTTGAGTGGTATAAACTGTACTGATGTATTTATATTATAAATGTTATATTACTTACCAACCAGAGTACAATGAAGTGGACATGCCCATTCTTGCTGCTGTTTATAGAATAAGAGAAGCTCCCGTTCCCTGTCCTCTTCAGAGTCCCTTACATCCATCTTCATTCTAAGTGGTTTCCCAGTTGCATGTTCCCTTAGCAGATTCTCTTTGAAAACTTTGGCAGCTTGAGTGGGTTCTTTAATAAGCTTCCATTCTAAACAAACAACAACAATAAAGTTATCTATTACAGAGAGACATATTGTGAGTTGGCATGTTACCTGCATATACAGATATCCTCTCACTCTACAGAACAGGAGGAAAATTCTGTTCATTTCACTGACAAAACGTGAGACCCAACATCTTCAGAACCTGTCACAACGCTGAGTTGACATAAAAACAGCACTACTAAACAACTACAACTAAATATTAGAAAAATTGAAAAACCCAGTTGCATGTTATTAATTGTCTGTAACTGTATTATCTTATCTAATTATATCCTACAGGTGTTATCTTTCTATTAACTTTTCAGTTACACACAATCTTATAGCAACACTATTGTGATGACACAAACCACTGTCTGTTTCTTTGCGATCCAACTCCTCGTTGACAATCACTGCCGGTACTACTGCACTCTCAGCTGATGTTTCAGGCCTCACTGGAACACTGTCACTGACTAGGGCTGTCTCACTATCATTTTCTTCACTTTGGCCTCCCTCTTGTTCTCTTTCTGATTCCTGCATGGGTGTCCTTGAAGTTAACACAATTGAAATGATGGTCATACTCGCTTATTTGTGTGCACAACAATAAGAGAGACATATTCCCAAAGAAAATAAATTATGCTACCCTTGCATTGCTTTAAGAAGTACATACCCATTGCAGCTCAATCTGTGCAGCTTCATCTCTGAAAAGGGAACTTCCTTCTGACAAGTGATGCAGGGGATGACTGGACCAGAGGCAGGACGTGAGCTCTCCTAACAACAACAACAAATGGCTTTTAATTAATGATTAAAAGTCACCAGTAATCTTTGTTTTGATTATGTATTAAACTAAGTCTCTGTAAATGTATGTACACAATCTAAGGGTAGATCCTGTTGAAGTGGACGTATGTAGATTGTAGCCTGTCCAATCATCGTCGATGGATCTTTCAGATAGGCAAGGGTGTATCCAGTGCTGGGACACTGAAGCAACGCAAGATTTCGACTGCGAGTAGATCCTACAAGTTTTAGAAATTCAAAGCCTCCCCCTTGTTGGAGCTTCGGAAACACTTCCATCAGTTTATTTGTTATAACCATGGGATCGTGGTCATTCCCTGGAGAAAAAAACAAAACAAAATCATAACTCACCTCACCTTAAATTAAGCAAATAAGCCTGTGATAACTATTATTGACACTATGAACACCAATTAAGTTTGAGTCACTATAAAAAGAAATGCAAATAATTTCAACAAGCCACAGACAGTACAAACTTTTTTTTACTTTTGGTAAATGCCTAGTTTGGCACTGACCTGAAAATGTTACTTTTTGCTCTCCAAGCCTGAAGTAAGAAGTTCAGCTTTAAACAGTACGCTTGGAGTTTTATCCGCATTGTGGTCAGCCAAACAACAGACAGTGTGTGTGTAGCTTCTTCGGCTAACTTGGACTTGTGCTGGTCGTCTCGTCATATTCCTTCTGGCTCCAATGTTATATGGCGCAAAGAGCCTTGCTACCTCCGCTGCAACACAGAAAAACGTAACAGCTCAATGGTCACCAGTCAGCTAAAACAGCCTCTACTTCTATCTTGGGATGCTCAAGCCAGCTAACACCATTTAGCCGATTAGCGAACTAGCTAGGTTTATGCTTCCCCCCCCATTAACAATAAACGTGTCACGCACGAAGCATCATAATACCGCATGCAAATACATGTTCGAGTCGATCTAATTTAACCTACACGTGTGTCCCGAATCATTAAATAGTAGCACACCTGGCTAACATGAAATTACTTAGCTTACCTTGGACAGGTGTACGTGATTGAGCGGCCGGTATCTGCTGTGACTGAGCTGCCGGAGTCACCGGTGCCGCGGGAGCCGTTGGACTTCTGCTCAGAGCTTCCTCAATCAAATTCGCTGCTTCTCTCAGCAGCTCCGGGCAACTTTTAGACATTTTGTCCTGCACCTCACACAGCGTCTCAACATTGGGGCTAGCAGGACCGAGTCTTCTTGATTTTTAGCCGTTGCAATGAAAGTACTGTTTAACCGTGTAACTAAACCAACGTAGAGGTGAATAGCGCCACCCAGTGTATTGGAATGTGTTCAGTAGCTCTGCATCAATCCATTATCCGGAATTGATTTGTCTTGGCTTGATGCAGAGGGTAACCAATCAGGCGTTAGGTTCCGCCTACCAACTTTTGATGGGTCAGTTTGACAGTTTTAAGTAATTCATGAATCACTCCAACGCAGGACCATGAAATGTAAATGTAAATAGTGAAATAATTATATATGTATTTTACATAAAATGAATCGGTATTTGAATTAATTAATGATACATTTAATTACACATTTATGTATTTAATTCTAATTTTAATTAATTAATGACACATTTAAGTAATTATTTAATGGTGTATTTATTTATTTAATTGTGGCACTTTTAGTCCTCCATAGTCACCCAGGCTTGTGGAATACTTTTGTAATTCAGCTGTGTATCAATGTGTTAATAAATGAGTTTATAAAACGGTCCATCTTTCAACGGGCCAATGTGATATGGGATATCTCATCAACTTTGTGTGTCATGGTGATTCTGTACAAATGCTAGACAACAGACACCGAACGCTTGATGCTCTTGAACATATCCCAGGCTAACGCATGAAAAAAAGTAAATAAAGCGCCGTCAGTGATGTCAGTGTCTTCTCTTCCCGCCTGAAACAGAAACGGAGGTAGAAGAGCTATCGACTAGTTAGCTACATAAATTGAACAATGGATGACCTTTACTTGGATAATATTGATGAATTTGTCAACGACCAGAATAAAATCGTAAGTCATCTAGTTAATTAATATATCTCGATCTATCCAACTAGCTAGCTGCTTTGGTCAATACTAGAAGCTAGCTAACCTAGTTGGCTATCTGACTCAGTGACTGCTCAGGCTACTAACAGTAGTAGCTAGCTAACGTTAACGAATTTAGCCATCACTCGCCCAGTGTTTTTAGACTGCATCACCAGGCCCCGCATTTGGAGACTAGCTAACTACGGTTGAATTTGGGAAGATTGGAGCTGCAATTCTAAAAGATAGGAATACACCAGAGCTTGAAAAGTTGTCAAAAGGGTTAAATACCTAGTGATCTACGTTAGTTAGGTAGCTATGCATCCCAAATCTCTCGTGGACAAACAACATTAGTTGCGTAAACATATGACCAATTACGCAATACTTTAGTTCTGGGTTAACCAACTTTAATTCACCCCACATATCTATGTTGACAACAAACTGTTGTGTTGTCTTGTGTGTTCAAACAGGTGACCTACAAATGGCTGAGTCTCACACTTGGGGTCCATGTCAACCTAGCCAAACAGTGAGTAAAGTTATCCAGAACCACCCACATTACCTGCCTTTGAACGTTTTGTTGTGTTTAAACCACCACCTGTAAATGACATTCTATGGGTCCATCATGATGTCTGTTTCAGAATGCTCTACCATTACTTGGATCAGAAGAGGAAAGAAAGCTCTGCTCCGCTCCATGCCACCTACCTTGTGTCTGGCAAGTTTGTCGAGAATGGCACCATGGTAAGAGAACAAGCCAAAATGGCAATTTTCATGTACAATGCACACAGCTGCTCACCATGCCCCTTCAGAACATGACATGCAGCAGTAAGCCTATTTGGACATAGGATTCTTGCTTTGTTTTAGTTTGTGTTTTACACAGCTTAGGTCTTTTCAATGCTTTCTTTTCAGAGTCACAGGGTGTCAGTAGTGCGAGAGGATCAGCTGGAGGGTAAGTTGTAGGGATCTAACAATTCATCGATATGCACCGATCCCCGTTTCAAATGTTTAAGATATGAGTGAATCGGTCTGCGGGAGCCAAATCCAAATGAAGTATGCATTGGTCAGAAAATTGATTCAAACGCTATGAATCCTATTTAATTTCTGCCTTATTCTGAAAATACCTCGAATCTGTTGTGACTGAATTGATGCGTCCTCTCCTTCAGTAGCCTATCGAACCTCTATGCATGTAACTGCGTATAACATTGATCTACAATTGCATTTGGTCATTTTTTACATGAATAGGGTAAAGTTGTCATTTCATAACAAGGACAGCAATCATTTTGTGAGCCACACTGATCAGAACGGGAGAAGAGCAGCTCTCCTTTGTGAAGTTCCAAATGATCAATACATTAACTTTTGGGACTGGGTGAAATCCAAAGCTGTGTTAGAATTTTGTAATTTTTGTATTTAACCTTTTATTTTAACAGGGAAGACCTATTGAGTCCTAGGTATCTTTTTCAAATGCGCCCTGTATGATACAACATAAATATACACATTATACACCCCCCAAAAAATTATATACAGTGGGGGAAAAAAAGTATTTAGTCAGCCACCAATTGTGCAAGTCCTCCCACTTAAAAAGATGAGAGGCCTGTAATTTTCATCATAGGTACACATAAAAAATCCAGAAAATCACATTGTAGGATTTTTAATGAATTTATTTGCAAATTATGGTGGAAAATAAGTATTTGGTCAATAACAAAAGTTACTCAATACTTTGTTATATACCCTTTGTTGGCAATGACACAGGTTCAAACGTTTTCTGTAAGTCTTCACAAGGTTTTCACACACTGTTGCTGGTATTTTGGCCCATTCCTCCATGCAGATCTCCTCTAGAGCAGTGATGTTTTGGGGCTGTCGCTGGGCAACACGGACTTTCAACTCCCTCCAAAGATTTTCTATGGGGTTGAGATCTGGAGACTGGCTAGGCCACTCCAGGACCTTGAAATGCTTCTTACGAAGCCACTCCTTTGTTGCCCGGGCGGTGTGTTTGGGATCATTGTCATGCTGAAAGACCCAGCCACGTTTCATCTTCAATGCCCTTGCTGATGGAAGGAGGTTTTCACTCAAAATCTCACGATACATGGCCCCATTCATTCTTTCCTTTACACGGATCAGTCGTCCTGGTCCCTTTGCAGAAAAACAGCCCCAAAGCATGATGTTTCCACCCCTATGCTTCACAGTAGGTATGGTATTCTTTGGATGCAACTCAGCATTCTTTGTCCTCCAAACACGACGAGTTGAGTTTTTACCAAAAAGTTCTATTTTGGTTTCATCTGACCATATGACATTCTCCCAATCCTCTTCTGGATCATCCAAATGCACTCTAGCAATCTTCAGACGGGCCTGGACATGTACTGGCTTAAGCAGGGGGACACGTCTGCACTGCAGGATTTGAGTCCCTGGCGGCGTAGTGTGTTACTGATGGTAGGCTTTGTTACTTTGGTCCCAGCTCTCTGCAGGTCATTCACTAGGTCCCCCCGTGTGGTTCTGGGATTTTTGCTCACCGTTCTTGTGATCATTTTGACCCCACGGGGTGAGATCTTGCGTGGAGCCCCAGATCGAGGGAGATTATCAGTGGTCTTGTATGTCTTCCATTTCCTAATAATTGCTCCCACAGTTGATTTCTTCAAACCAAGCTGCTTACCTATTGCAGATTCAGTCTTCTCAGCCTGGTGCAGGTCTACAATTTTGTTTCTGGTGTCCTTTGACAGCTCTTTGGTCTTGGCCATCGTCTCTTGGAGTTTGGAGTGTGACTGTTTGAGGTTGTGGACAGGTGTCCTTTATACTGATAACAAGTTCAAACAGGTGCCATTAATACAGGTAACGAGTGGAGGACAGAGGAGCTTCTTAAAGAAGAAGTTACAGGTCTGTGAGAGTCAGAAATCTTGCTTGTTTGTAGGTGACCAAATACTTATTTTCCACCATAATTTGCAAATAAATTCATTAAAAATCCTACAATGTGATTCTGGATTTTTTACGTGTACCTATGATGAAAATTACAGGCCTCTCTCATCTTTTTAAGTGGGAGAACTTGCACAATTGGTGGCTGTCTAAATACTTTTTTTCCCCACTGTATACACACACACACACACACAAAAAAAACAGTCATGGAAAGCACAAATAAAACATCACAAATCAACCAGAAAAATAGTTACATTCCTCCCCAAATAAGTCCCCAATCAATGCTTTAAATTGGCACCAGAACATCAACATGAAATGTATTTAGAATTTTGTTCCAGCAATACAGTGCATTAAAACTAAAAGCAGATTTACCTAATCGGTGGTGACCCTAGGAACCTCGAGGTAACCAATCATGTGAACGGGTTAGGCAACTCGGATACAGCAAACTTCAACAGCAAAGTTAGATAAGACGGAGGTTTGTGAAGTAGGGCCTTGTAAACAAAAAGGGAGTAATGTAGAGATCTACGGGTCTTTAGCAAAGTCCAGCCAACCGTTTGATACAGGAAGCAGTGGTGAGTATAAAAAAAAAGGGCATCCAAAGGTTTAAGAGTAGTAGCAGCTGCACTTTGATAAATAATATCACCATAATCAAGAACAGATAAATAAGATTGACTGAATAATCTGCTTCCTACTACTTAGAGAGGCATGATCTGTTTAGGTAGAAAAAGCCAACTTTTTAAATCTTGGCTTCTTATATATATTTTTTAAAGGTCAAATCCATATCATTCCAAATCAAAGGAGGTTGGTGGCACCTTAATTGGGGAGGACGGGCTCGTGGTAATGGCTGGAGCTGAATGGGTGGAATGGTATCAAATACAAACACATGGTTTCCATCTAGTGAGTGAACATGTAGTTCATCTGAAACATTCTTACGAGAGTTTAAAAACATGTATTTCGTTTTGCCTGTATTAAGCACAAGTTTTACATCGGCAAGGAATTCCTGCATGGCTATAAAATCTGATTAGTTTTGACACAGCCAGATCAACCGTTGGGGCAATGGCATACATAGTAGTATCATCAGCATATACAGTGCATTCGGAAAGTATTCAGACCCCTTGACTTTTTCCACATTTTGTTACGTTACAGCCTTATTCTAAAATGGATTAGATGTTTTTCCTCATCAATCTACACACAATACCCCATAATGACAAAGCAAAATAAATGTTTGTTATTTTTAATAAATGACACTGAAATATCACATTTACGGAAGTATTCAGACCCTTTACTCAGTACTTTGTTGAAACACCTTTGGCAGCGATTACAGCCTCGAATCTTCTTGGGTATGACGCTACAAGCTTGGCAGATCCTCTCAAGCTCTGTCCTCTCAAGGACATTCAGAGACTTGTCCTGTGTGCTTAGGGTCGTTGTCCTGTTGGAAGGTGAACCTTTGCCTCAGTCTAAGCTCCTGAGGGCTCTGGAGCAGGTTTTCATCAAGGATCTCTTTGTACTTTGCTCTGTTCATCTTTCCCTCGTTCCTGACTAGTCTCCCAGTCCCTGCTGCTGAAAAACATCCCCACAGCATGATGCTACCACCACCATGCTTCACCGTAGGGATGGTGCCAGGTTTCCTCCAGATCTGACACTTGGCATTCAGGCCAAAGAGTTCAAGCTTGGTTTCCTCAGACCAGAGAATCTTGTTTCTCATGGTCTGAGAGTCCTTTTAGGTGCCTTTTGGCAAACTCCAAGCAGGCTGTCATGTACCTTTTACTGAGGAGTGGCTTCCGTCTGGCCACTCTACCAAAAAGGCCTGATTGGGGGAGTGCTGCAGAGATGGTTGTCCTTCTGGAAGGTTCTTCCATCTCCACAGAGAAACTCTGGAGCTCTGTCAGTGACCATCGGGTTCTTGGTCACCTCCCTGACCAAGGACCTTCTCCCCCGATTGCTCAGTTTAGCCGGGGGCGGCCAGCTCTAGGAAGAGTCTTGGTGGTTCCAAACTTGTTCCATTTAAGAATGATAGAGGCCACTGTGTTCTTGGGGAGCTTCAATGCTGCAGAAATGTTTTGGTATCCTTCTCCAGATCTGTGCCTCGACACAATCCTGTCTCTGAGCTTTAAGGACAATTCCTTCGACCTCATTGCTTGGTTTTTGCTCTGACATGCACTGTCAACTGTGGGTCCTTTTTATATAGACAGGTGTGTGCCTTTTTCAAATCATGTCCAATCAATTGAATTTACCACAGGTGGACCCCAAGTTGTAGAAACCTCTCAAGGATGATCAATGGAAACAGGATGCACCTGAGCTCAATTTCGAGTCTCTTAGCAAAGGGTCTGAATACTTACAAAAATAAGGTATTTAAAAAACAATTATGTAATAAATGTTCCAAAATTTCAAACAACTTGTTTTCGCTTTGTCATTATGGGGTATTGTGTGTAGATTGAGGATTTAAAAAAAAAGTCATTTAGCAGACACTCTTATGTTTGTTCATCCATTTTAGAATAAGGCTGTAACGTAACAAAATGTGGAAAGAGTGAAGGGGTCTGAATACTTTCCGAATGCACTATAGATTATATGCAGCTTGACCAATGGTGTTTATATAAATAGTGAGGAGAATAACGGTCCCAAAATCAACCCCTGTGGTACACCTTTATATACATGAAGATATTCAGACTTAACCCCATCAATCATGAGCCTGAGTTCTGTCACTTAGATAATCATTAAACCATGAACAGGTGTCTGAGCTCATGCCTATCGAGGACAACTTGTTCAATAAAATGGCATGATCAACAGTATCAAAAGCTTTTGCCCAGGCCTAAACCCTGATTTGATTTACATAAAAAAGAGCGAAGTTGTACATTGACTAAGGATTCAAGAATCTTAGCCAGACAAGGAAGCCTTGAAATGGGCCGATATTTATTAAGATCACTACTATCCCCACCCTTATGGAGTGGCAGCACGGTCTGATTTCCATATTTTAATTTAAATTGTATGTGCTGATAACAATGTTAAATGTGGGTTATTAAGCCATTTAATGATGGGCCCTGCACACTTAAGCAGACCGGGATCCAATTGGTCGGCCCCTGTGGATTTCTTGTCTATTGCTAGCAAAGCATCCAGCACTTTTTTTTTTCTGTAAATAGCCTAAAAGAAAAGCTTTGACTATCATTTCTCTGATCATTCAGCAGGTTTCGCATATCAGCATCCAGCCCAATATCATTGTGAATTGACTTAATGTTTTTTCAAAGAGAACAAGCTGAAATAAAATGGTGATTAAATGCATTAATGATGTGCTATGACAAAGCCAATATAAAGATAAATATTGACATATTACTAGCTCAAACCAAAACCATTAATCAGTGGGGGGACAAAAAGCTAAATGAAACCAGATCGTTTTCAAACTAAAATTATCATTCCTGTATCGTATCAGTGCCTTCAGAAATTATTCACACCCATTTGACTTTTTCCACATTTTGTGTTACAGCCTGAAATTTAAAAGTATTAAATTGTGAGTTTTTTTGGGGGGGTCACAGTTCTACACACAATAACCCATAGTGTCAAAGTGCAATTATGTTTTTTGTAATTTTAACTCCTTTTGTTATGGCAGGAGTAAAAATGTGCTTAATTAGTTGCATGGACTCACTCTTTGTGCAATATTATTATTATTATTATTGAACATTGAATGACTACCTCATCTCTGTACCCCACACATACAATTAGGTCCCTCAGTCGAGCAGTGAATTTCAAACACAGATCCAACCACAAAGACCAGGGAGGTTGTTCAATGCCTCACAAAGAAGGGCATCTATTGGTAGATGGGTAGAAGTAAAAAAGCAGACATTGAATATCTCTTTGAGCATGGTGAAGTTATTAATTACACTTTGGATGGCGTATCAATACACCCAGTCACTGCAAAGATACAGGCGTCCTACCAAACTCAGTGGCCGGAGAGGAAGGAAAACGCTTGGGAATTTCACTGTGATTAAAACAGAGTTTAATGGCTGTGCTAGGAGAACTGAGAATGGATCAACAATATTGTAGTTACTCCACAATACTAACCTAATTGACAGAGTGAAAATAAGGAAGCCTGTACAGAATAAAAAGTGATGTGGCAAAGCAATGCACTTTTATTTTCCTGAATACAAAGTGTTATGTTTGGGGCAAATAACACTTTACACAGTACCATTCCATATTTTCAAGCATAGTGGTGGCTGCATCGTGTTATGGGTATGCTTGTAATCATTAAGGACTGGGGAGTTTTTCCAGGATAAAACTTAATGGAGCTAAGCACAGGGAAAATCCTAGGGGAAAACCTGGTTGTCTGCTTTCCACCAGACACTGGGTGATGAATTCACCTTTCAGCAGGACAATAACCTAAAACACATGGCCAAATCTACACTAGAGTTGCTTACCAAGAAGACAGTGAATGTTTCTGAGTGACTTACCCAGAGGAGGTGCTTCTACAAAGTCTCAACTCAGGGGTGTGAGTACTTATGTAAATTTGATTTCTGCGTTTAATACATTTGCAAAAACTTCTACAAACGTTTTCACTTTGTCATTATGGGGTAGTGTGTGTAGATGGGTGAGGAAAAAATATATCTTAATCCATTTTGAATTCAGGCTTTAACACAACAAAATGTGGAATAAGTCAACGTAGGAATACTTTCTGAAGGCATATCTAGATGTGTATCGAATTGCGCTTGAAAGGAAAGATTCACATCCCTAGTAAGTTCTGTTTATCTGCCTCATTTCCTGACTTCTTTTGTTGTAGTGTTGCCTTCTCATCAAGATGAATATGAAGTGTACTGAATGTGTCACCAAAACATCATCGGTCGTCTTTTGTAGATGTGAAGGCGAAGATGAGCCTGACGGTCAGTGTACACGTGTACAGTGTTCAGAAGGCTGTACTGAAAGACAGTGGTCCTCTGTACAGTGCTGATTATGATGCTGTGAAAGAGAATCTAAGAAACTGCAGCAGGTACATCTATCTTTACTTTAAGCTACACTCAAAGTCAAAATAATAGATTGAGAAATTTGCGTGAAATATTCAAAGGTTTAGTGACCTAGGCTATTTATCAGAACATAAAATCTATTTGCAGGTACAGTGCAATTCGTTGTGCCGATGCAGTGCCTATATCCTTGGCAGAGGTGCAGCAGGCCTGTGAAACGACACAGGCCCCACCACCAGAGAGGGAGCAATCCAAAGCAAACCTTTCTAATCTGGCCTCTAAACCCACCTCCAAGCAGCCGAAAGGCATTATGGGAATGTTTGCAAACAAGAATGTCTCCAAGAATCAAGATTCAAGCAAAGAGATTAAATTGGAGCAGAAAGAGGTTGCACCTGTGGTATGTGTTTGTGTTTCTCTTAGTGTGTACACTGCAAATGGCATGTGGTGTTCATTTTGATCCAGTGCTCAAAATTGCAACCCGTAATGTTAACTTGCGATGTCACATTTGTTTGATATTGTAGGTTGAGACCTCCAAAACTAAACCAGCTGCCAAGACAACTCCTATGAGTAACTTCTTTGGGAAACAAGCAGCCAGTAAGTATTTCAACAATCCCATATCATACATCTCTTTCTATAGTTTCACATGTAAATACTACTATTGTCCTTTAAATCTGTAAGATAAATCATGTATATCCACCACAGAAAAACCTGACAAATCCATCAAGGAAGAGGTAGAAATAGCCCAGACATCTTCCTCAGTGGATGAGAAGCCCTCAAGCCCACCCCCTAAAGCAGAGACTCCTGCAAAGGATGCTGTGGTTGAGAAATATATTAGAAGGTGTGTACTATTAAACCTGGTAGGAGTCCTTTTATAAATATAAAACTTTTGTCATAACAAAAGTAACATGGATACTGAAGTGATTATAAGAGGAAGTATTTTTTGGACACTAAAGTTGTATAGTATCTCAGAACAAAAACTTTTTTGTCTTTGTGGTGAACATTGACGTTTTGAATGGCATTTCCAGAGTATGCTTTAACAGGATATTTTCATCTCAGTAGTAAGACCAAGCGTCTTGAACATTCTGATGGTGAAGAGGAGAAGAATGCGAGTCAGAAGAAGAAGAAGAGACGGAGGATAAAGAAACCCCAGCCAGACAGTGATGATGACGGTAATATGAGCTGTAAAGAGAGGGTATGCATATTGCTCAGGCTGCCCTAAACATTCATACTGGACTTCCATTATTCAACTGTTTCATGATTGAAAACAACTGTTCTATGTTACAGTTATTCCAGATTCTCCTCCACAGTTACAAGAACAGAGGGACCCATCACCAAGTCCTGAGATTCAAGTAAAGAAAGAACCAGTTGCTGTTTCACGTTCAGATGTAAGCGTTCACATTTTTACTCCTACTTTATTTGGGTACTAAATTGTTGAAGTTGCAGGATATATAATTAGCATGTTTAATTTGGTTTTAATCACCAATTTGTGATTGTCTACCTATCAATCCATGCAGGAGCTTTCAGATTGTAAGCGAAGGAAGAGGAGACGTGTCTTGAAATCTCGCACGTTTGTGGATGACGAAGGATGCATTGGTAAATTATTGAGTTATGTTGGGAGTTTTGTTTCTATTCAACTTTTACGTGTAAACATTTTGCCTAGGCCTAACTCCTCTGACATAAACATGGAGGTTATTTATATTCCCCAAAGTTACTAAATCATTCTTTATATGCAAAATAAAATATCTTATAGGCTGATTTTGATGTCTGATCTGAAAATCATTTAAATATTGTCTACCTCCCAGTGACCGAGAAAGCCTATGAGAGTGAATCCTACTCTGAGACTGAGGACGACTTTAAGGTCAGTAAACCAACTCCGAAGAATCCAACCCCACCAAAACCATCAACTGGCAAGAAAGAGGAGGAGAAAAGTAAGAAAGCTGCTGCAGCCTGTAATAAATCAACTAAGCAGGCTTCTATTATGGGATTCTTCCAAAAGAAATGATAGACATACTCATACTGTTGTACTGAACACTGGTAAGGAGCTTGAGGCCCAAGTGGAGAGAATCTAGACAGACACATTTTCAAATGTGGCGGAGGATGGATGGATGCAGATACATCACTTGGCAACATTTGGTGGAATGCTGTACTACTTTTTTTTTTTATCACACTTTTGAATCAATTTCCACATTACTGTATATGATAAAATGCATTGTAAAATACCATCATAGCTAATTTATCATTGCAGCATTTATTTTGGAGTTTTAAATTTGGTTACAATTCTGCAAGAGTTGAAGAGTTCATACTGTGGTGAACCAGTACAGATTCTGAACAGCAGCAGTGTGGCACGCTCTTACCTGCCCCATGAAACAGTGATTTCCCTTGTTTTCTTTTTTTATTGTCTCATGCTATTATTGCTGGTAGAAAATTTACTTCAATGTTCATTAAATATATTTTCATATATTGTGTTCTCTACAGTATGTTAAAGCCAAGTTGAAAAGTGTTCAATATTCAAAATATATGAATAATCATGGAACTGGTCTGTGTAGAAAATACAGTGGTGGCATTTTAGATGTATCCTGTCTTGTCTTTGAGTAATAGGTTTGCTTCCTGTGGTTTTGACACAACATCACTCAGGCTCTTAGGTTACGATTGATAGAAAATGGTCTGCCTTTGGCAAGGCTTAACTCTGGAAGCACACTTTGGAATCAAATGAAGTGTCTGATCCAGTGCCACAGCTGTGTTATTGATTGCTGCATGGCTTGCAACACCCGTTGATGCAGGATAACACCCTTTGACAGGCTGTATTCTGATAACTTATAAACCGACTGGCTCTAAGCAATTTAAACTGTCTCAGAAATTCCCAGGACAAGATTAAACTACATTAATGTGCTTTGGGAATGATGTATGTTTGAATTAATTCCAATCAATTAAATGTAAACAATGTTTGCGCTCTACAGTTGTTCCGCTTTGACCACCAGCACAATCTGAACTGACCACAATCTTACTTTAGGTGCTCTGGCTATGTTTACACAGGCAGCCCAATTCTGATCTTTTGCCAAATTAAAAGATCTGATCACATTGGTCACGTTGTGTGTGCCGTAGAGTTATTTTCATGAGTAAAAGGCAACTGTTAAGCAAACTCATGCAATGGAAAAACAGGCCATGGATGGTCTAAACTGAGGTAGGGTTCCATCTCCGAGACTTTGCAATGAGGGAACATGATAAACGGTTTCCAGGTTTCTTCAAAGGTACATTCGTGTGAGGGAGGGCCTGGGTGATACATTTGCTATCAAATGCAGGCAGCTGGGTATAAATCTATTGGTGGGGATGGGGCATGCAGGTATGTATTTTGAACTAATGCATTGTAGTTTGGTACATAAAACAATACTGTCAAAATGTCTACATTTAGACTGACAAAAACCTATCCTCAAAGAAACAGAAACAATTAAAACTAAACAATGTCAAAACAAATGAAACCAGGCAAATAAAGGTTACAACACTTTGAATGACTTCTTTTGCAGAGCCCAACAACAGCACAACATCAAATATACTCTGCGGATAGTTACCTGAGTCTAGAACAGGGGTGTCAAATATACAGCCCGTGAGGGGGTCCAATCAGGCCTGCGGGTGGTTTGAGTAAAAAAAACATTCCTTAAAACTCAATTCAAGGAAAGAAAGAAATTAAGAGAAAGTGTCAGCTGTGTATTAGCGAAAAGGAAACTTCTCAATTTTATTTTATTCAGAATTGTTCACATTTTGTTGCATTACAAAGTGGGATTGAGATAGATTTCATTGTGATTTCTTTTGTAATTGATCTAAACAAAATACTCAATGTCGAAGTGAAAAGAAAATTCTAAATATAGTGGTTTATAAATATTCACCCTCTTTGTTTAGGCAAGCATAAATTAGTTCAGGGGTAAAAGTTGGCTTAACAAATCACATAATAAATTACATGGACTCCATGTGAAATAATTTGGGTTTACATGATTTTTGAATGCCCATACAACATCTGTAAGGTCCCTCAGTCAAGTACTGAATTTCAAGCACAGATTCAACTACAAAGACGTGAGCTTTTCGAAAGCCTCATAAAGAAGGGCAGTGATTGGTAGATGGGTAACAATAACAAATCAGACATTAAATATCTCTTTAAGCATGGTCAAGTTAATAATTATGCTGTGGATGTATTAAACCACCTAGACACATAACATATACAGTAGTCCTTCTGAACTGAGCTGCAGGACAGGAAGGAAACTGCTCTGGGATGTCATAACCATTCGTGATTTCAAAATAGCTACAGAGTTCAATGGCTGTGATGGGAGAAAACTGAGAATCGATCAACATTGTGGTGACTCCACAATAATGACCCAAATGACAGAGTGAAAAGAAGAATACAAATATACAGAGTAAAAATATTCCAAAACATGCATCCTGTATGCAACAAGGCACTAAAGTAATACTGCAACAACAACAAAGAACATGGCAAAATAATACACTTTTTGACCTAAATGCAAAGCCTTATGTTTGGGGCAAATCCAAAACACAACACATCCCTGAGTAAGTCTCCTAATTTTCAAGCATGGCGGTGGCTGCATCATGGTATTGCTATGCTTGACAAGAGCAAAGATGGGAGTTTTTTAAGATTAAAAGAAACGGGATGGAGCTAAGCACAGTCAAAATCCTAGAGGAAAACCTGCTTCAGTCTGCATTACACCAGACACTGGAGTTGCTTACCAAAAAGACAGTGAATGTTCCTGAGTGGCCAAGTTAGTTTTGACTTAAATCTGCTTTAAAAAATCTATGGCTACAGCTGTAAAAAGGTGTTTCTAACATGTATTGACTCAAGGGGTGAATACTTATCTAATCAAGGTATATTAGTCTTTTATTTTTCATTAATCTTAAAAAAAAAAAAATCAGAATGTTCTTCCACTTTGACATCACAGATCGTTGGCAAAAATATGACAATTAAATCCATTTTAATCCCACTTTGTAATGCAATAAAATGTGAAGAAATCCAAGGGAGGTGAATACTTATGTTAAAGATCTCTCTACTGTGTAACATACAGTCAATTACAAAGTACACCAACATTGTGGATACTGAATGTGCACCCAAATTTATCCATGTAATTTCAAACCCCCAACTATTCAGTTATTTCCACAATTTGGTTTCTCTGTCCATCCCTTGTTCTTTCCCTCTCCTTGATTTCATGGTCTTGCCCACCGTACGATTTCAATTATATTCCAGCTAGGCAGATGTGGAATGCACTTTTATGCCCAGGTGGAATAAATCAATAGGCATAAAAAGATATATATCAAGTGATTCCACATTATTATATTCAAACAGGCCTTGGGCACTTGATTTCGTCCTAGTCTCTGAATAAATTAAATATGATGTTGTCCGTGGTAAACCAATGGACCCTGCACATTCCTTCTCCAGTCTTCATTACAAGTATCTCTGTCAATGCTCACATACAAAAACTGAACATACATTAATACTCTAACAAGCAGGAATGCATGATGAAATCCGAAGAAAAGATGGCATGGTTATTTACCTGCAAATGTTAGAGTAAAAAAGTGTTAAAAGTGTGGACGTCATTCTTACAGGGGCAAGATGATTAAAGATCACTTGCCTGTAGAAAAACATCTATGATTGATGTCATGCATACAAAGAATAAATACAGATCACTGCCAAAATAATGGAAACACTTACAAAGTATATTGAAAGCAGGTGCTTCCACACAGGTATGGTTCATGAGTTTAATTAAGGACTCAACATCCCATCATGCTTAGGGTCATGCACAAAAATGCTGGGCAGGCCATTATTTTGGCTACCATGGCTATGCCCCCATAGGATGACAATGCCCCCGTCCTATGATTTACAGAGCACATCTTGAGGTTATTAGACGGTTCATTGCCGTCCTGTTTGTTTTGGTGTATAAAAGACTGTTTCAGATTATATTTATGTTTATTTTAAGGACTGGCAGAAAACCATAAGTATTAAGTTATCCCAAGGTAAGGCATGCTGTAATATACAAGTATGTCTACACTATGAAGGCATGCTACACTATACAAATACAGCACACATTTGACTACTAGCACAGTCACTGCTCAACTTCTTGATACAAGTGATTCAATTGCAAAGGCACCTATTGCCAGTAACACATTATTTATTTAACAGATTGCTCTCTCTGATTCTAGATGTTAGAGAAACATGAAGCTGTGAATTGCTTACAACCAAGCACTTGAGAAAACCGTTTTTTTTTTCTATTTTAAGTTCTTTAAATGCAAATAAACACTCACTTGTATTTTACTTTTATAATCCCATTATTTCTCTTTAGACAAACTCTTCAAAAGTAAATAATTAATTGAAACCAGGTTTTTTTTACACATGCTCTTAGGACTTGGTGATATAATAGAATCTGGCAAGAGAGAACCTCTCTGCTCCAAAAGACACATTGTTGGGGAAGGCATTGAGGGTTCTGAGGATCTTCAGGAATTTACATCCTCAGGTCCATTTCAGTGTATCTGTGTGTGCCAGTATCTCCACATCTGGCATAATCGTTGTAATCAAGCCTGAGAGATGTTTGGATACAACTTTTTGGGGGGGCTCATACATTGAGACCTAACAGTTGTTGGAGAATACTACTGTGTGTGGAAGCTGCATTTGGCTCTGAGGCCAGGCAGCTGATTGCCTCACTAACACTCATTAATCAATGTGCCAAATGAGTTCATTCAAGATTGTCCCCATTCATCAGTCTTTTTGATGCACAAGTATACAGTACTTGGAAACTGTACTTCACTTAGTATGTAATCATAGGGAGAGTTATTGAGTGATCTGACCATGTTTTAAATAGATGCCTCCATAACTGTAAAGTTGTTGTCCATTTTTCTTAATCCCTTGAACAATAATCATTTCAATGATGAAAAAAAATATTCTTCTGAAACGTGGTCTTGGTCTATGAATCATGCCTCCATTACAAGCATGTGTTTAATAATGTGAACCTCTAACAGTGGGGTTCAGGAAAGAGGGTGTAATGACTGAAGTGTTTATGACATGAATCCCAGTATTGTCCATATTTTCTTGGCACGGCCCTGATCATCAGCTGAAATGATCTGGGCCAACTTAATTAAGGAGAGGGAAAGGGTATAAAAAACAGTGCCCTTAATAGATTTCGGAAGTATTTTGATGAAGCATAAACTCAGGGGTTCTCTTGAACACCTAACCAGCTATGAAAGCAAACACATCTATCAGACTTAATTAACTTAATACAATTTGGCTAGCTTTGAATCAAAAGACTGCCTGCCTGCTTCAGTTCCTCACGAACCCTATCTGTGAGGCACCATATGGTGTAGCAGCCTAGGGGCAGATATTTCTGATATTTATTTTGTTTGCTGACCTCACCTGCCTCAATCTACTGCTACTAACGGCCTATTATCCACAGTAAATGGCTACATTTAGGATAGTAAGACATGGACACATACAGTAGGTCTACAGTGGCTTGCGAAAGTATTCACCACCCTTAGCATTTTTCCTATTTTGTTTCCTTACAATCTGGAATTTAAATGGATTTTTGGGGGGTTTGTATCATTTGATTTACACAACATGCCTACCACTTTGAAGATGGAAAATATTTTTTATTGTGAAACAAACAAGAAATGAGACAATAAAACAGAAAACTTGAGCGTGCATAACTATTCACTCCCCCAAAGTCAATACTTTGTAGAGCCACCTTTTGCAGCAATTACAGCTGCAAGTCTCTTGGGGTATGTCTCTATAAGGTTGGCACATCTAGCCACTGGGATTTTTGCCCATTCTTCAAGGCAAAACTGCTCCAGCTCCTTCAAGTTGGATGGGTTCCGCTGGTGTACAGCAATCTTTAAGTCATACCACAGATTCTCAATTGGATTGAGGTCTAGGCTTTGACTAGGCCATTCCAAGACATTTAAATGTTTCCCCTTAAACCCCTCGAGTGTTGCTTTAGCAGTATGCTTAGGGTCATTGTCCTGCTGGAAGGTGAACCTCCGTCCCAGTCTCAAATCTCTGGAAGACTGAAACAGGTTTCCCTCAAGAATTTCCCTGTATTTAGCGCCATCCATTATTCCTTCAATTCTGACTAGTTTCCCAGTCCCTGCTGATGAAAAACATCCCCACAGCATGATGCTGCCACCACCATGCTTCACTATGGGTATGATGTTCTCGGGGTGATGAGAGGTGTTGGGTTTGCGCCAGACATAGCGTTTTCCTTGATGGCCAAAAAGCTCATTTTAGTCTCATCTGACCAGAGTACCTTCTTCCATATGTTTGGGGAGTCTCCAATATGCCTTTTGGCGAACACCAAACGTGTTTGCTTATTTTTTTCTTTAAGCAATGGCTTTTTTCTGGCCACCCTTCCGTAAAGCCCAGCTCTGTGGAGTGTACGGCTTAAAGTGGTCCTATGGACAGATACTCCATTCTCCGCTGTGGAGCTTTGCAGCTCCTTCAGGGTTATCTTTGGTCTCTTTGTTGCCTCTCTGATTAATGCCCTCCTTGCCTGGTCTGTGAGTTTTGGTGGGCGGCCCTCTCTTGGCAGGGTTGTTGTGGTGCCATATTCTTTCCATTTTTTTATAATGAATTTAATGGTGCTCAGTGGGATGTTCAAAGTTTGCGATATTTTTTTATAACCCAACCCTGATCTGTACTTCTCCACAACTTTGTCCCTGACCTGTTTGGAGAGCTCCTTGGTCTTCATGGTGCCACTTGCTTGGTGGTGCCCCTTGCTTAGTGGTGTTGCAGACTCTGGGGCCTTTCAGAACAGGTGTATATATACTGAGATCATGTGACAGATCATGTGACACTTAGATTGCACACAGGTGGACTTTATTTAACTAATTATGTGACTTCTGATGGTAATTGGTTGCATCAGATCTTATTTAGGGGCTTTATAGCAAAGGGGGTGAACACATATGCACGCACCACTTTTCCGTTATTTATTTTTTATAATTTTTTGAAACAAGTTAATTTTTTCATTTTGACTTCACCAATTTTGTGTATGTCCATTACATGAAATCCAAATAAAAATCCATTTAAATTACAGGTCGTAATGCAACAAAATAGGAAAAACGCCAAGGGGGATGAATACTTGAGATATCTAGCATACAATAATATATTGTTGCTACTCACATGTTGAGACACTTTTCAATAAAACACCAGAGAAGAGAATATTTGAAAATGCAGATATAATTACAGTATTGTAGTGAGCACAGTAAATAATCTTACTTCCGATTCTAACCCTTAATCTACTTTACATCTAGTGAGGTTTTCTTCAGCTCTGGGAGAATTTTCTGGTCTGACATATTCTTTAACAATGGGCAGCAGCAGGGTTGAGTAGACATGCTCCTACAGAGAGCTGACCCCACTAGCTGATTTATACCGACTAACTGCCCCCAGCTGTTACTATTTCCTGAGCCAAGACTAAGCATGCATAGCTGAATTGGCCAAATGCTACTTAGAGGGAATTTGAAACGTCCACTCAAAAAATGAACAGACCATATAAATGCTAAAAGTTTCAAGATTTTCCACCAGCAATAAAATATATAATCTTGAGGTGAAAACGTGCTAAAATTGTCAGCTCCTCCACCGCTGTCCACTAACTGCCACAATGAGAGATGCTGTACTTTGCATTATTATCCGGGATTAAGTTACTTTCTCAAAATATAACATTACAATCTGGAATATAGCAAATACTAATAACATTTCAAGTTGGGAGAGAAATAAGCTGTGTTTTTAATGGAGAAGTGTTTATAATGGAGAAGTGTTTATAATGGAGAAGTGTTTTTAATGGAGAAGTGATTATAATGGAGAAGGGTTTATAATGGAGAAGTGTTTTTAATGGAGAAGTGATTATAATGGAGAAGTGATTATAATGGAGAAGGGTTTATAATGGAGAAGTGTTTATAATGGAGAAGGGTTTTTAATGGATACAGGTTTTTTATGAAGTGCTTTTAATGTAGAAGTGGAAAGGGACACATCTACCTTCTTCATTGAAGAGGACCACCTTGAACCTCTCAGAAAAATATATTGCCAGAAACTGTCAAGTCCAACAGCCAGCAGAAATAAATCACAGTTTCATTGTGAAACTATTAAGGTCTACAACTGAGGGACTTCTGTTTTAAAATATTTTGTCAGGCCTTTAGTGAAAGATGTGCAGCACTGTCTGGCGCAATGTGTGAGGCCAACACAATGAGTCATTGTGGCTGTGACGGGAGAGAGCGGACTGTTGAAGTTCACAGAGGAGGGATATTAGTCACAAGTCGGTGCACTGCTCCCATATCGACAGGACTCTGTGTATGGCTCTAGTCTACTGCAATGAATATGGCACAGGGACAATGGGGCTTATTTTTACACCTGTTGACCTAAACAAGCTTGTTGACAAGCTGTTCACAGGGCAGCTCAACTCAAAGGCAAACATGGATTTCAGATTATGTGATCACAAGCCAGCTATCTCAATGTGTGTAGAACAGTAATGACATGCTTTCTCAGTAACTTGTCATAATAGTTGTCATAATAGTTATTTGATGTGGTAGAAAAACACTCCAATAATATCCTCAATTTTTAAAGACCAAGGGTTTATTTTTCTTGGGTTTGGTAGATTATACATCCTGCAAATAATCAAATTGTGTCTAACTATTTGACAAGCATGTTACAGTTGTGCTCTACACCTCTTTTACAAAAGACTGGGGCCGCCATCAATATTATTCTTATTTTTCCTCCCTGAGCATCTCTTCTTCTTCTTCTTCTTCTTCTTCTTCTTCTTCTTCTTCTTCTTCTTCTTCTTCTTCTTCTTCTTCTTCTTCTTCTTCTTCTTCTTCTTCTTCTTCTTCTTCTTCTTCTTCTTCTTCTTCAGTTGTCTTTATTGGAAAATATTGGTGTCCTTCCAACTCCTGACCTAATTTACATTTATATCTAATTAAATGAACAGAGCTGTATTGTTGTGCTCATCCTGTTAGGCCATTATAACCCTTGAGAAAACAAACTATAACACTGGGGCACAAATCCAAATTACAGGCACAATTTATAAAGCAAAGATCCCCCTGGTCGACTGCGTTCATTGGAGGTTAGCCCAAGGAAAAACAACAGCCTGTCTTGTGCAGGAATTCTTGCCTCAGGTAGAGCTCAACAATTTCATATTTTTGGTTGGCTCCAACTTTTAGCCTTGTCATTACGTTCAAGAATGCCTTGCAACTGTGCAAAGGGGAAAGATGTACATCAAGTACTGAAATCCCACAGAATCCTATGGAAAATGTGCCTGTAGAAAACTGGCCTTCAGAAAACTGTCCGAACATAATGATAAATATATCAGCGAACATAGTAGAAAGTAGTTCCACCAAACCAATGTAGCCACTCTCATGAAAGAATACATACAAACACTATTGCAGGGCAATACCAATGCATAGATAACAAACCCACATTTTCTGCAGAAATCACTAGTGTATAGCCCAATGAGCTAAAAGCCTTGGCGTCTCAGGCAAGGACCTTCCAGTACACACTCAAATGTATACATAATGTAGAAACAAACATATCAAACAAACCAATGTTATACGCTCTGCCAAAATTACATCTGTTAGCATATTTGTATTTACAATAAATATGTTGATTCATATTTCTTGGTACATTCTGAAAAGGCATATAGTATCAAACAGCAGTATTTAGCAGAACAGTAAAGTGATTGTAAAAATAGTCTACTCTATAAATGTGTTATGGCCAGTTGGCTGTATTTTTCTATTATATACATGTACACCTGTATTTTTTGATAATACCAGATTTACTGTATTCCAGTATGCCATAAAACAAAAATGAGATACAACTGTAATTCATTTAAAGTATTTTTTCCCCCATTTCTTTGTCTTCTATTACCAAATGCTACCAACAATGTTGTTACTGAGAATATGGGACATCACATTGTTATGAGTTATGTTGACATTTAAAAATAAGCAAAAGCTTGTTATTCTCTAACCAATAAGCAGTGCTCTGTTTTATGTTTAATGAAATAGATATGAATGCTGTGCATTTTCCATTGATGTCCTCCGTAGTAAATATGTAACTTCAAAGTCAGAGAATGAAAGTTAAGATGAGCACAGGCTTTCCAGCTGGTCTGGGTACAAGAACTTCACTACCTCCCTGATCCCATCCTCACAGGTCCTGGTCTTGGGAAATTCCTTCTGATTGTCTTCTTCCTCCTTGAATCTTTTCCAAGTCTCTGTGTAAAAAGAACAAAGACATGTTGCCATCCAACAGTAGACAAAAAGCATACAAACCCATAACAACTTTTCCCGCCAGCAGGAAACAAGATGGTCACTGACAAAGAGGAAAACAGGTATTTGTTTTTATCTGTTGAAATTAAATGAAATTTCCTTTGGTCTACAATATGTCTGTATTGCCCAACAATTCATATTGGCAAAGAAAAGCTCTACTTAAAATAAAACTAAAGGATTACAAGATTTATAACTAGAGGACTATTCTACTTTTAATTACCAGAAAACAAAGGATAAACTCACCTTCATCTAATGTTGCCAGTAAAGTGTAGTTATCTGGATTATCGATAAGGTCTTTCTTCAGAACATCCCCAGTTTCCATTAATTGTAAAACTCCTGGGAAAAGTGAAAATACAAATTGGGTGATATTCCGAATAGTTAGGTAATCCACAGCTGTAACTTTGTTATCAACACTGCCATGCTAGTGCCCTCTAATACTCCCCCCTCCTAGTTACCTCCTACTGTCTTCCATACTTGCACTTCAACTTCAGCAGTCCCTTGTCTTTCAATAGCAATTATCCTAACTGTGTCCTCGGTGTGAACCTTTGACGATGGCTTAACTTTGTACACCAAGAGGTTGTTATTGTCATGTCCAAGATTCATATTCATGTAACAGTCAGTCCTGTTGCTCTCAGCTTTAAGTTCTAGGGGCAAGAAACAGAGAGATTTAAAAAATATTGTTCAAAGACATACTGTTGCAAACTTGTTTTGTCAAAACCTAGGGTTAAAATATTATTTATTATTGCATTGTGAATCATGCTGAACTACCTGGACAAATCTTGCAGCACTTCCCCTCGGTTTTCATGGGATGCTGGCATGGATATTGGCTGGGACATGTGAGGCGTTTGCAGTCCTGTATGCCATCCTTACAGGTACACAGGATGCACTCCAGGACCTTCCCCAGGACTGGGTGCCACACATCACCATGAGAGTAAGTCTTGCTGCTGTATTGACAGGCTGAGAGAAAAAAGAAAAGCATATATATTCTAGTATTAAATATTATTACAATCACAAAGCTGTAAGGGTTATAATACATGGACTGCTCAATGACCAGGGAACTGGTCTCCTATTGCAGACCATGAAAATAGATTATTAATGTAGGGCTGTCATTAAACTCTCACCCTTCTGGTGATTTTTCTGCAGCAGGAAATTCACGGTGGTCTCTGCAGCACCTTTGAAGTGGAGTTTGGGCAGGCTCAGGCCTCTGGGAGTACCCCTGACTGTGGATGGAGTAGAACGGACAGACCGCCCTTGGAGCTGCTCTCCAGCACACTGGTCCAATGAATGCCTCTTGTATATTCACGGACACAAATAGACAGTTATTACGGGGTTATTTTAGATTCACGTGCAGTTCAAATGCCAAATGTGAAATACAGTAACACAGGTAGATATGAACATGGACACATGGACAGTCAAGATTTTCCCCCTCAAATCAAAATCCCCTGCGCACGTGTTTTCATCAAAGTTGATTTGCATGTCCCACAAATGAAGATTACATATTAGTTGTTGTCTTCTCATGTCACCCCGCTCCTCCGCACACTCCACTGGCTTCCAGTTGAGGCTTGCATCTACTACAAGACCAAGGTGCTTGCCTACGGAGCTGTGAGGGGAACGGCACCTCCTTACCTTCAGGCTCTGATCAGACCCTACACCCAAACGAGGGCACTACATTCATCCACATCTGGCCTGCTAGCTCCCCTACCTCTACGGAAGCACAGTTCCCGCTCAGCCCAGTCAAAGCTATTCGCTGCTCTGGCACCCCAATGGTGGAACAAGCTCCCCCACGACGCCAGGACAGCGGAGTCACTGACCACCTTCCGGAGACACTTGAAACCCTACCTCTTTAAGGAATACCTGGAATAGTATAAAGTAATCCTTCTTCCCCCACCCCCCATAAAAAAATAAAAAATAACATATTTTTAAAAGGTGGTTGTCCCACTGGCTATCATAAGTTGAATGCACCAATTTGTATGTCGCTCTGGATAAGAGCATCTGCTAAATGATGTAAATGTAAATGTAAGTGGGGTGTTTTGGATATGATGGTTTTACATATCTATAAGACTAGAGACATTAATGAATTAACAGAAAAATACATACAACGCCTCGGTTCAGCTGTTGGCCTCCATGCTCCACTGATGAGTAAATGCCACCATCTAATCAAAGAGAAATTAACAGGATACATACTTATTTACTTTGATATTTACTTTAATAACAACAGAAAGTATGATGAAAATCTGCTGTGGTAAGAAATAAATGGTATCACCTTTGCACACCAGACAGCAGGTATCTGGGACTGAGAGTGGTGAGGAGCAGGTCAGTGGCTGGCATGTTTTCAGAGCACAGAAGATATTTCCATTCTAAAAACAACAGAGGAAGAAAAGGTGAAGGAATGACAGATGGGATGACAGACGTTGCAGAATAGGGTGGCATTGGTTACCACAGGGCATTGTAGCTACATGAACAGCTCCAGTATTATGGCTATGCCATATCTAAGTCCTCAGATATGACACATGAGTAAAAACTCCCAGTTACATTCTCAGAATAATGAGCTGTACATCAAAGCCTCCATTGTAAGAAACAACACCATAAACTACAGGAAGGGAGAGTGTGACTTACAGAACATGTACACATGACACACTGGTTGATTTGTCTAGATGGAAAGAGGTCATGGTTGGCAAAGGTCTCCCCTGGTTGGTAGATAGTTCCATTATACCTGCAGGACTTCACCGGGGCTCTCAAGCCAGCTGGAATCCTAGGCTCATCTGAGGAGATAATGGCAAGCACAAGATATGTAAGTGAGTGCCAAAGCAGGATGTTATTCTTACTGGATTGTATGACAATGTCTGATCCTACCTGTACAGCGAGGGCAGCACTGTTGAGAGTCAGTCACTGGGTTCTCACACCGCAGAGTAGGACACTTAATTGTGTTACATTTCACATGGCCTGTCTAAGAGAGGGAAATGTTACATGTTTTACAGGCATACCTTGAAATCCCACCAAAATCCTTTCAAGCAACTGCCAATATTTTAGATAGCGAGTAGCCTAAATCCTCTTTGCATGCAGTAGCCTACAATCCAATATCACTCAGATTCAGACAGTTTGATACAGTAGTCTATATGACAGTGTTGTGGTTTCATATTGTATTAAGCTAACCTACAGATGAGACAAAACGGACTAATTACTTATTCTAATTCTATGGGTACAGTACCTTAGTGCAGGAACACCGCATACAAAACATTAATCCAAAGGGTTCCAGATAAGGATGCCAGCTGTCTCCTGGACTGTACGTTTTATCTTTGAAAGTACAGAAAACTGAAGACACTGGGTGCGAAAAAAGGGAAATATGGACGGTAAGAAGTTATTTGAGTAGCTGAAGCATTTACCATATGAAGCAAAGCAGGAGTTTTCATAAACAGAAAATGAAAGAGACTGATCTCATAAAAAAGTATTTCCATGGCTCACAAACCTGTCAGAGTAATAACTGTCTACTGGCAAAACACACGTGGATTAAATCAGTAAGTACTGTCATAAATTATGTTTATGGTTATATAATTCAAAATATAATTCTACCGGAATTAAGACAGTTAAAAAAAAGTTATGAAACAAGTTACTGAAGGAATACTACACTAACCTTACAGACAGGACAGAAATACACGCACTGTATACACTTGCCAAATATAGAAAAAAGTTGGTTGCAACAATGATGAAAGTCAGAAATTGAAAAATTACACAAACGTATATCATCGCAAGTAGTGGTTGTGCTGTATTCATATAGTAAAACTCTGAATGTTCAATGTTGCTTTGGCGCATTTCATCAATTGCAGATAACGATTTAACTTTAGATTTGCAGACCGTCTGTCCTACCTTTTCTTGTTCTTATAACATCACCACCACAACCAGCGAACAAACGGATGCAAATTAATAAGAAAATATGCTTCATGTTGGGGGATATCTCCTTGTCAATATGAAATGAAATTGCAGCAACTGCGACAGCAAACCCCAAGACAGTGTGAAACTCCACACAAAATCACGAATTTATTATTGCTTTTCACGAAGGCGCCTCCTACAGGAAGAATACGTACATTTATAAACTGGGGTGAAGTGAATGATGTGATGCTACGTAAAAGTTCAGGTCGTCAGGACGTTGAAATCATATGCTTTCACAGAGATGATGGGAATTAATAAAAGTATATTTAATTGTCTTATGGGGTGCTGGTTGTCAAGTAGGCCTACAGTAGGAATAAACCCTATATTGTAAAATAATTCATTGGAGACATAAAGCAGACTATTACTTTGTCTCTAAAATGCACAGTAGCCCTAAAATAAACATATTCAACAACACCCAACTAGACATTTCGATGACACCCTAGTGAAAACGGGATGGGAGCCTGTGATGTCATAATAAAAATGGGATGGGAGCCTATGATGTCATAATGGAAATGACATGACCTTGAGGTCAAAAGCCTGCTGCTCATTTGTTGAAGATTCAAAGGCAGATAAGAACTTTCAACAGGGAGAAGGAAGCTCCTACAGGATCACATTGGTTAAGACCCGTGCGCAAGTGGCGCTGCTTGCTCAGCGGAATGACCAGCGTTCGGGCGGCCGTGGAGGGGCATAATGTTTGAGGATCCTTCATGACAGACGTCAGAGAGGATACGGCAACTGTCAACTCGGTCCAATGGTTGAGAAATGGAAATGGCAGTGAAAAAGATTAAGCTTGCTTCCACTGTCAAGATAATTTGCAGATGTGAGATGAAGACTGAAGGGCCGACGCACAGTAATTTGTGTTGGAGAATTGCCCAATTAGAAATGACAGTGTGTATTTGTTAGGAGAATTGCCCAATTAGAAATGACAGTGTGTATTTTTTTTAGGTTTCAAAGCATTAAAACATATGTAAAGCTACTTTTAGGCCAAATGTATTTGTCTCAAGAGATCTACTTTCCTAAAAGGCAAACGCGCCTAGTAGGGCTACCAACACACTGCAATGTTATGGGACACGAGAGGAAAGCCTATTATTCAACATTTCTCCAGCATTTATTTCAACATACAGGAAACATACAAGGATAAAAACGATTACTGTCAAATATGCTGAAATCTTTAGACAGGGCATGGGAAAAAACACAGAATAAAACAACGATAGCACAGCAATGTCCACATAGCATAGAACACTCATTCCAATCCGCATTCAAATTTGACTCACAGATACAGTTTGACCAGACTAAATTACACAACAGTGATTTATAGACAGTGAGATGCCATGAATATGCCACCAACAATGAAATAATCGTCCACTTGAGGTTTGTTAATATCTACCACGTAGGCCTACAAACTGCAGTGGTTTAATTCTGAAGTTAAGTCTTTAGCCCCCATTCACTTAATTTGTGCGAAACACTATGAGTCTGAGAACAAAGACATGATGTAGCAAAAAACAACAGAAAAACATTATAATAAAAAAAAAATGCAGTAATTCCTTACTGCCACTAGATGTCGCAAAATTAATTATTTTCCTTGTAAAGGCAAAAACAGACAACGGCTAAACTCTTCTCTTGGCAACCAATTGTTGGCCCTCATGGTTGTGCTCAGCTACTCTTTACTTTCACTGGGGAAAGGGACTCATTTGTGTGGGAGGAATTACAGGACACTGGGGTAGACCGAAAGTAAGCCAATAGAGAAAATGCTCTTATAAGACTTTCAAGTTACCAATTTGGTTGGAACATGGAATATAAAAATGTCAACCGGTCTAGGACAGAGGACATTCATAATTCAAGGCCTTTCCATCCATACCCATGAGTTTCACCTATTGTATATGTCCCGGAAAACATGTAGGATCTATCAATATACTGTAGTAGGCCAACTGTAGGTTAATACTGTACAAGAACAGATTTGAAGTACTCCCTCTGTGCTCCTCACACATTTTCTCTCTTTTACACTCAGTCACTTACTCACACACACACACACACACACACAAGCCCTCTCAGGAGGTGATACTCTGTGTCTTCCGCTCCTGTCTTCTGACGTTTCTTGTCCCGGATCTCATTCATGGCCTGCTCTATGGAGTGGGTGTCCCTTTTGTTGGCCACGGGTACGGAGGGGGGAGAGACAAATATATTTTGTTATGCAAAGAACAGAGCACAGATCCTGAGGAGATGTGATGCACTAAGGATTACAAATCAATACTAAGCCTCTTCACACTCACCTATGCCATATGCCTGGTTGGCTTCTAGCGTATGTGCTGCATCCTTAGCAGCAGAGGTGCCGATCAGATGGCTGTACTTGGAGCTGGGAGAAGCTGCCCTCTTCTGTGTCTTATTGGCTGTCTCCTCTTCCAACGCAGCCTGTTCCTGAAGAGCAGTGGACAGGTTCCATAATCAAACAGTTTCTTCAAGCAACAGCTCTGAACCCAACCTCAAATGAGTACTGTTAGAGTGAGTATATCTAAGGTGGAGCAAGACTCAATTGTGTGACGCATAGTAGTCTGTGCTCTCTTCAGTTTTGTTCCTCAGTGAATGTGAGCGACTGTTTGTCTCCAGTCTTACTTTAAGTCTGCGCCTATATTCAGCTTTCTGGGGGTCCCACTCCATTCATTTCCGGTAAGCCTCCAGCTCATCGTCTGATGGAGCAAACTCCTGCCAGATACATAGGATAAATTCAGTTTATTTTCATTTTGAATACATTCAGTTATGCTTCAGGGAGAATAACAAATATACAATGCATAATAAAATGCAACCACTATGCACTAAAATAATAGTACAACTGAAGGGAAAGGCATGTCAATTTGGTGACACTTGAAACTTGAACATTGGTGAACGCAGCCATAAAGCATACCCAAAGACGACTGACCTTCTTAAAAATCATGAGGTATCTGCTCTCCTCATCCTCTCTGAAAGAAAACGATGTTAGACCAGCGACTTCTGCAACATCATGCCTTTAACAAGACAGGAAGTCAGTACAAATGTACATGTAAAGAAAGATGTGCAACTGTTCCATATTATGTTTTATTGCATTGATCATGCTCTCTATTCATAGATTAAAGAATATATTTATAATTTGCCACTTACAATATGCTCCTTTCAATCTTTCCCATGGAATTGTACTTCCTCTTCTGTTATTTACTCTCTTGAATGAATTCGGACACCTCTTTCACCATCTGAAAAAGAGATGGTGGTAAGCTGGGTTGATCTTTACCCACAAAAGACCACACCATTGAAGAATTGGAAACAATGTAGGGATTTGGAGCTGGGTTGTCCAAGTTACTGACTGGACATTGATCTGGGTGAGCAGAAAATGACCCCACAAAGGAGTCAGACAGAACATAATGATCCACCTGCAGGTAGAGCCTCACCCTTTTCTTTTTCTTCTCATCCTCCTCTTCTTCATTCTTGCTGCCTGTTCTGTTGAGGGATTGAAAACAAGGTTATATTATTCAATTGTTTTCATACTGAAAATATAGGCCTGTTCATTTCCATATGAGTAGAATATATATGAATATATCTCCTATACCACTGATTTCTATTAACTGGACATAACTTTCATTATGTTGATATGATATGGATTTAGTACGGCTGAGCAAATAAGAGGATCATATGCTATAGTTGTTTAGGTGTAATTCACATATAATTTCCGGATTAGGGATGTGATTTACATATGAACTGTACCATGTAATATTTATTATTAACGCAAACTGTAAAAGAGGCGGTGCTGCTTCGCATGAGCAAACAGCTTCCCACGCAGCACTTGAATGATGGATCCTTTGGCCAATGAGAGCACTAGAAGAACAGATTTTTGTTAGTATCTAGTATGTGACTAGATACTTTTCTGTACAGATGGTAGGGAGGTTGGGAATTCCACGTTAGGGATCCTGTATCCAGCTACATTTACGAAAAACTTTTCTTTACAATCGACTAGTTACAAACGAATTGAGTAAAAATGACAATAGATTAATATTGCTTATACCTCGGGCCTTTCGTCGGCTCTCCTTGTCGTCGACTGTTCAAGGTTTTTCCATTGATTTAAAGATTGAACCTAAGAGGTCCGCCATCTTGGACTGAATGATCACTACCGGAAACACGTTGTTTAAAAACGTTCGTGGGGGGTTATTAGCATGCGCATATCAACAAAGAATATTGAAATAAAATAACATCTATTTTTATTGGTCATGTACACAGATTTGCAGATGTTACCGCAGGTGCAGTGAAATGCTTGTGTTTCTAGCACCAACAGTGCAGTAGCTAATACATAGCTAAAATAAAAATAAACTATACACACATAATCCAGAAACATTTAGAAATTAAGAAATATCAGAACCAGCAATGTCAGAGACCTGAATATAAATACAGTATATATACAGTACCAGTCAAAAGTTTGGACACACCTACCCATTCAAGGGTTTTTCTTTAGTTTGACTATTTTCTACATTGTAGAATAATAGTGAAGACATCAAAACTATGAAATAACACATATGGAATCATGTAGTAACCAAAAAAGTGTTTTTTATATTTGAGATTCTTCAAAGTAGCCACCATTTGCCTTGATGACAGCTTTGCACACTCTTGGCATTCTCTCAACCAGCTTCACCTGGAATGCTTTTCCAACAGTCTTGAAGGAGTTCCCACATATGCTGAGCACTTGTTTGCTGCTTTTTCTTTCACTCTGCGGTCCGACACGTCCCAAACCATCTCAATTGGGTTGAGGTCGGGTGATTGTGGAGGCCAGGTAATCTGATGCAGCACTCCATCACTCTCCTTCTTGGTCAAATAGCCCTTACACAGCCTGGAGGTGTGTTGGGTGATTGTCCTGTTGAAAAACAAATGATAGTCCCACTAAGTTCAAACCAGATGGGATGGCGTATCGCTGCAGAATGCTGTGGTAGCCATGCTGGTTAAGTGTGCCTTGAGTTCTAAATAAATCACAGACAGTGTCACCAGCAAAGCACCATCACACCTCCTCCTCCATGCTTCACAGTGGGAACCAGACATGCGGAGATCATCCGTTCACCTACTCTGCGTCTCACAAAGACACAGCGGTTGGAACCAAAAATCTCAAATTTGGACTCATCAGACCAAAGGACAGATTTCCACCGGTCTAATGTCCATTGCTCATGTTTCTTCTTCTTATTGGTGTCCTTTAGTAGTGGTTTTTTTGTAGCAATTCGACCATGAAGGCCTGATTCACGCAGTCTCCTCTGAACAGTTGATGTTGAGATGTGTCTGTTATTTGAACTCTGTGAAGCATTTATTTGGGCTGCAATTTCTGAGGCTGGTAACTAATGAACTTGTCCTCTGCAGCAGAGATAACTCTGGGTCTTCCTTTCCTGTGGCGGTCCTCATGAGAGCCAGTTTCATCATAGCGCTTGATGGTTTTTGCCACTGCACTTGAAGAAACGTTCAAAGTTCTTGACATTTTCCGGATTGACTGACCTTCATGTCTTAAAGTAATGATGGACTGTCGTTTCTCTTTGCTTATTTGAGCTGTTCTTGCCATAATATGCACTTATTTTTTTACCAAATAGGGCTATCATCTGTATAACACCCCTACCTTGTCACAACACAACTGATTGGCTCAAACGCATTAAAAAGGAAATAAATTCCACAAATGAACTTTTAACAAGGCACACCTGTTAATTGAAATGCATTCCAGGTGACTACCTCATGAAGCTGGTTGAGAGAATGCCAAGAGTGTGCAAAGCTGTCATCAAGGCAGAGGGTAGCTACTTTGAAGAATCTCAAATATAAAATATATTTTGATTTGTTTAATAATTTTTTTGGTTACTACATGATTCCATATGTGTTATTTCATAGTTTTCATGTCTTCACTATTATTGTACAATGTAGAAAATAGTAAAAATAAAGAAAAACCAAACTTTTGACTGGTACTGTACATATAAAATTGTGTGTCCGGCTGTAGGTAATAATACAATAAACCTTTGAAGCAAATAATGTAATAAATAACACAACAACAAAACAAAGAAATATACTGCAAAACTAGCCAATTCTGTCTCAGAATAATCAACAGAACAGGCTATTTATTATAGCCTTCTATGTCTGGACAAATTGTGGGTAGTGAATGTACTGAAATAATATATGTTGAATCATCTTTTTTGTTTTGTTTCTTGAGTTTATTTACTGTGTTTTTTTGCTGTTGTCTGTGTCAATCTACACAGAAAAAACACAATCAAAATGAAATAGCAATATTCATGTTAATCTACATTTCATAATAGCTTGTATTAATGAGATTTTTTTCTCTCCATTAAATCAATATTAAACCATTAATTAAATATGAAAGCATTACTATCCCTTTACTTTTCATGAATAAATAAACTAAGCGATTGATCAGTTGAAGGGAGGATGATATCCTACAGTTCAAGTCAAACTATGTATGAAAATAGGAACTCTGTAAACAGTTGTGGAGGCCAGAAGTCTAGTATACCATGCAGTGTGTATACGGATGCTTTATTGAACTTCATTGACATTGTATCAGTCAATGTGATTTCTCTCTGTCAAGCAAATGGAAGGAGCAGCAGGTAAAGAGCTGGACAAGCACCTTGTCTGTGAGTCAGACTCAGATCTGATCTGTCAGTTTAGATCAGTCTATTCTGTCAGATTTGCAACTCTTAAGTGTCTAGAAAGACCTTGTGGAACTTGTTTACATTTTCCAGCAAAATGAAGGTGTTTGGACGATGTAATCTGACAGAAATTCTGGTTTTCCAGTCTGTGCAGTGCATGTTTTTTTCAGATTCCTAACACAAAAGCTGTCATCATCTGCAACACAACCAGTGGCGGCTCCTGAAAAAATTCTCAGGGGGGGCAATTTTTCTGATGATTTAGGTGACCTACACACATTTTAAAAAAGATATGTCCAGCAACAACATGAAGACAGGGGCAGCATATAAGTCAATACCAGAAGCATTTATTGACTGATCTCAAAAGTGTTGGCTTACCAGGGTTGGTGGAGCCCTCAGTTTCATCTTTGCCTCGCAAAGCTAACTCAAACACTCCGCAAAACTTCACACACTGGATTAGCCGGCTGAGGATGTGGCGGTTCTTGCTAATGTCGTAGTAAATATATTTGTTATAGTGAATATGGAATATGATATGTTGAGTAAAATGTTGTGCTAAGATCTATTTAGGTCAGGAGCTGGTTATAAGTTCTGTTCCTATCCAATAACAATGGACAAAAGGGTCCTATCTTGTCAGCCTTGTCAGCAGGTGGCCAAGGACAACACCCACGCCATAGGCCTCTCAGTTCTTCCAACTCACGAGTTCTTGCTCTGAGGACACACACACACACACACACAAACACACACACACACACATCATCACTGTTAAACACACACACACACACACACACACACACACACACACACACACATCATCACTGTTAAACACACACACACACACACACACACAAAAATCCCCTCTCTTAGGCTGAACATTTGAAGACAGAGAACCCGACTCAGAGCCAATGCAACAGTGACAGTAGCCTGGAGGGGACCTCGCCCAACTCATCAGGACCAATCAGAAGATCAGAACTACTAGATTCAACCTACTTCATTTATTGCATAAAATGTCTGCACACAATGTTT